GGGGGGGGGGGGGGTGCGGGAGGCCGCTGGTCGATGTTTCTTTCTCATCGACGTTTCTAGCTCTCTATCCCTCTTCCTTCCTTTCTGTGGAAAATCAATAAAATATATTTAAAAAAAGAAATCAACAGAAAACATCCTTGGTGAGAATTAACCACAAAAAGCAGGGATGGAACTGGAGAGCTTTATGCTGAGTGAAATACGCCAGTCAGAGAAAGATAAATATTACATGATCTCACTCATTTATGGAAAATAATGAACAACATAAACTGACAGATCCAGAGATGGAGAAGCAGCGATCAGACCGTCAAACCTCAGAGGGAAGGTAGGGGAGGGTGGGAGTGAGGGGCAGAGATCAGCCAGAGGACTTGTGTGCATGCATATGAGCCTAACCAATGGACACAGACAGACACCAGAGGGTGAGGGCATGAGTGGGGGGGAGTCGTGGGGGGCAATGGAGTGGGGATAAGGACACATATGTAATATCTTAATAAATTAAAGATTGAAAAAAATAAAATAAAATAAAAACGATTTTTATAAAGGTGAATGTAGACATGTCAGCACTGACAGGCAAAGGGAGGAAGCTTGGGGTGACAGCGAGCCACGGAGGCCTGAAGGGCTGGCGGTGCGGCAGGCTGGACTCTGGTGCTACTAGATCTTCGTTATTCTCTGTAATCCTCCCCCGAGGATACTTCCCATTGGCTTTTAGAGAGAGTGGAAGTCTGGGGGGGACGACGACGACGACGACACATGGATGTGAGAGAGATGCATCGACTGGCTGCCTCCTGCACGGCCCCTTACCGGTGCTGGGGATCAAACCTGCAACCCAGGTACGTGCCCTGGACCAGAATCAAGGCCACAACCCCTCAGTCCACAGGTCAACCCTCCAACCACTGAGCAACACTGCGAGGGCTGGATTCTTCGTTATTTACGGGCGGCCCCACCTTCTCCAGCTTTAGGCTGCTTTCTATTGGCAGAGACCTGTGTGCTCCCAGGAACTTAAAATGCAGCAAATTCACGTGGAAAGCCGCTGCCGGAGGTCCAGCTGCTGCACCGCCCGTGGCCTCCTGCCCTCAGCAAGGTCACGCTGAGTGTGCAGAGCGCTCCCTGAGCTCAGCTCCTAACTCTCTCCGGATGGGGAGAGGGGCTTGGTTCTCCTCCCCCCCACCCCCCCACTAAAGAGCTTCCTGCACAAAGAATAAACAATGAGTGAGAGCCCAGCCAGCGGGGCGCCGTGATTGAGCATCAACTTGTGCACCAGGAGGTCACAGTTCGATTCCCGGTCAGGGCACAGGCCTGTGATGTGGCTCCATGCCCAGTGTGGCGCGTGCAGGAGGCAGCTGATTGATGACTCTCTCTCATCATTGATCCTTCTATCTCTCTCTCCCTTCCCCTTCCTCTTTGAAATCAATTAAAAATATTTTTAATTAAAAATAAAAAGATGAATGAGAGCTGGGGACGGAGTCAGCAGAAGCACCCTCCGGGGGAACCACACCAGAGCGGGGCAGGCTCAGACCGGCACTGTCCCTAAGGGACTCGGTAGCCCCCCAAGACTCCGAGCCCCCACTGCCTGTGCAGGGGAACAGCGCTGCAGAGCTGCAGAGAGAGCAGGACTGGAACCAGGCTCGCTGGACCACAAGCCCATTCCCTGCGCCTCGGCCTCCCGCTCCTGCGGGCGCTGGGTGGTCCCTGGAGAAGGAGCGCGGAGGGGGGGGGGCTTTCCGTGGCCCCTGGGGCAGTTCGGGTTTAGGCAGGCTCATTGCTGAGAGCTGTGAGCTTCCTCTCAACCTTGACTCCGTCCTGGGACAAGAGGGAGGCAGGATAGGGGAGTGGGCTTGCTCCTCCTCCTCCTCCTCCTCCTTCTCCTCCTCCTGGACAGCTGCTGATCCCAGAATAAAAGCCAGACTGCGAGTTAATCAAATTCAAATCTGGGCAAGTCAGACCCCGGAGGGCGTGCTCACAGGGCGGCGCCTGCGGGTAGCTGCTCACCCCCTTCCCCCGCCCCTGCCAGCTCTCTCCCCGTTATTCTCTCTGACCCAGAGCAGCAGTTGTGAAACCACTGTCCCCCAGCTAACCCTACGCACCAGGGCTTGAGGAAGCAGAAAGGGCCACCTCGCCAAGACAACACATTGCTTAACGGCCAGAAAGCAAGTCACTTCCTCATGGCACCCAGTGTCCCCTCAGGGCACTGTCTTCAAGGCACACAGTGAAATCATTGACACTGTCCTCGTTTAGAGTTCAAGGTAAGAAGACAATATTTTTTATTTTTTGTAATCCTCACCCGAGGATATTTTTCCATTGATTTTTAGAGGGAAAGACAGAGAGAAACACCGATGTGAGGGTAACACATCCATCGATTGGTTGCCTCCTACAGGAGACCTGACCAGGAACCCGCACCTGAGGTACGCGCCCTTGACCGGTCAGAATCCAACCTGGGACCCTGCGGTCGGCAGGCCAACGCTCTAGGCAGAGCCAAACTGGCCGGGGCAAGAAGACAATATTTAATGACCCTTCGCCATGGCTGAGCAAGGACCACAGGAGGCCACGGGCCTCCAAGGGGAGGCCCCAGAGAACCGGGAGAGAGAGGCGTCACTAGTGGGTGGTCCTGATGGTGAGTTAGAGGAAGCTCTGAACAATGCAGCTCCACTCCAACTGTACCAGCAGGGAGAGGCACGCACGCCTCCGCCTGCCTGATAGCCCAAGGGGAGGACGGATACAGAGGATGAGGAGGACGGGATACATCTCGAGGGGCCGTGAGCTGAGCCCAAGCTAGAAATCAGAGCCCAGAACCAGGGATTTAAAAATGAACCGTAGTGAGCCTCCTAATGGTAACCACAAGGTATAGGAACCTCATATTTCAGACCAAGAGGTAAGTCGATGGCTAATTACCTTGGCAACCTGTTCGTGTTGCTTCTGAAAAAGACAAAGAAATGCTCACGCTCCACCCGGGACTTTTGGGAGCCTCTGTGAGGCTCGCAGAGCCACCAGCCACTCTGAGCCCAGCCAGTGAGAAAGCACTGATGAGCCCAGCTGGAATGGCTCAGTGGTTGAGCATTGACTTATGAACCAGGAGGTCAGGGTCCAATTTCCAGTCAGGGCACATGCCCTGCTGTGGACTTGATCCCCAGTGTGGGCCTACAGGAGACAGCCCATCAATGATTCTCTCTCTCTCCATCTCACTTCCTCAGTGGCCAAATTATTATGATCTCTGAACCCATAGTAATCTGGCCACTCAGAGTGTGTGTGTGTGTAAAAGAGTAATATGCAATTGACCACACCCATAAGCCACACTCACTAGCCAATCAGGAGCAAGTATGCAAATTAACCCAACCAAGATGGCTGCAGCCATAGAGCGAGCAGGAGGCTTGGGTTTCCCCAGCAATGGAGGAAACCAAGCTTCCCATACACCCTGGCCAGCCCTGGCCTCTGCTCAAGGCTACAAAGTTTTAATAGTAGAAGGTAAATAAATCCCAGATACCAGGGCCTCCGCTTGGGTCACCAGGGGCTGTGGCCAGCCTGCAAACCACCACAGGCCCCTCACTCAGGCCACCCCACACCCCAAGAGACCCCCCACCCTGATCCGGGACACCTTCAGGGCAAACCAGCTGGCCCCCTCCCATGCACCAGGCCTCTATTCTATCTAATAAAAGAGTAATATGGAAATTGACCATCACTCCAACACACAAGATGGATGCCCCTATGTGGTCAAAGATGGTTTTCCCCATGTGAACACAAGATGGACAGCAGGGGAGGGCAGTTGGGAGGCACCAGATCTGCAAGGGAAGGCAATTGTGGGCAATCAGGCCAGCAGGGGAGGACAATTAGGGGTAACCAGGCCGGCAGAGGAGGGAAGTTGGGGGCAACTAGGCCAGCAGGGGAGGGTAATTAGGGGTAACCAGGCTGGCAGAGGAGGGAAGTTGGGGGCAACTAGGCCTGCAGGGAAGGGCAGTTGGGGGTTACCCAGGCTAGCAGGGGAGAGCAGTTAGGGGCAATCAGGCTGGCAGGGGAGCAGTTAGGCATCAATCAGGCTGGCAAGGGGGTGATCAGACTGATAGGCAGAAGCAGTAGGGGCAATCAGGAAGGCAGACATGTGAGCAGTTGGGAGCCAGCAGTCCTGGATTGTGAGAGGGATATCCCAGATTGGAGAGGGTACAGGCTGGGCTGAGGGACACCACCCACCCCCACCCCTACCCCCCCATGCACGAATTTCATGTGCTGGGCCTCTAGTATACACACACACACACACACACACACACACACCCATAGACACACACACTAGAGGCGTGGTGCATGAATTTGTGCATGGGTGGGTCCGGCCAGCCTGGCCAGGGGGAGGGGACATGGGCAGTTGGCTGGCCTGCCTGCTGATTGAACTCCTGGTGGAGGGAACAATTTGCATATTAGCCTTTTATTATATAGGATATACACTGAGTGGCCAGACTATTAGGCGTTCAGAGATCATAATAATCTGGCCACTCAGTGTATGTGTGTGTATGTGTATAATTTTTTTTTAAAGCAGCACTGGCTCAAATCCTAGAGGCATATTCATACCCCACTTTCAACCCTCCAAAACTTTCTCAGTCCCCTCGGCTGATTCCAGAGTTCCACTCCTCTCACCCCCAGGCAGAGTAAGACGAGAGGAGACATCCACAGATCACATTTATTTAGGGACGATGTGCCGAAGGAAACATTCGGGTCGGTTTTCACTGCGATTCTTCCCAGGGTCACATCCACAAAGACGCCATCAACCCGAGGGATTGACCGGAGGGGGTGCTGGGTGCAGCGGGGCAGCTCAGCCAGGGTCCCAGGGCCAGTTCTGCTCCAGAGGCCATGTCTGTGCTTCCCCATCGGGGCTGGTCCAGAGGTGCCCATCCTCCCGCCAGGCTCCGAAACCCCATCTTCAGCCTCTGTCCATCCAGGCAGCAGGACAGCTGGGAGGGGTCTGCACGGGGACCGGCCACACAGGGGCTCCTCTGCCTCTGGGAGGTGAGGGGGCTGTCTTCTTAGAAGGCTCGCCCAGGTGGGTTACTGGGCAAGGAAGGCCACACCGGGCGCTGCCGGGAAGGGAAGCAGCAGCACAAAGCACGTTTGTGAGACATACTTCCCTCTGAACAGTCACCACGCACTGAGCTCTTTCCGCCCACTGGCCCCATTCCGAACGTCACGTGTACCGTCTCTTTTGAGCCTCACCACCCGGGAAGTATTCCCATTTTAAGGATGAGGAAACTGAGGCTCAGAGGTGCTAAGTTACCTGCCCAAGGTCACCTCGTTTCTAAGTCAGAGTCAGGACTTAGACTCATGGGTCAGCCAGCTCCAAAGCTGTGACTTAGCCACTTTGCTGTACAAGCTGAGAAAGGGGCACAGTATGCGGCCCTTCGTCTGAATCAGCTCAACGCCAAAGCCAAAGGTCCTGTGCCGCCTGCTCCTGCCCCAGGCCCGCACAAGCTTGCTGTTTGGGTGCAGAGGCTGCACAGCACCCTGCCAGCCCGAGGCCTGGGGGCTGGAGCCTGTTTTAAGAGGACAGAGGTGCTATTTCCTGCAGAGTTTAACTTATAAGCCACCACTCTAGCCGGTGTGGCTCAGTGGATAGAGCATCAGCCTGTGGACTGAAGGGTCCCGGGTTCGATTCCCGTCAAGGGCACACACGGTGGTCACAGGCTCCCGGCTCAGGGGCATCGGGAGGCAACCAATCAATCCTTCAGTGTTCCTCTCTGACTCTCCTCCTCTCTTTCATCCACTCCTTCTAAAAATCAATGGGAAAAACCCTCAGGTGATAAAAGTAAGAATAAAAAGTAAAATAAAAATAAAAAATAAGAGTAAATTTGAAGCACCTAAACTGAACCTGGGCAAGGAGCTTTGAAGACAACTCACACCCCCACCCCCCATCCCCCACCCCCCAACCTCATGGCCTCTGCAAACCCGGCCCCGGGCAGGTCTCAGGGCAGCCGGCCGGAGGTCCCTGCAGACCACACGCCGATCACACGGCAGTGAGGGCGAGGGGGTGACTACATCCGACTCCAGCTCAGAGAGGAGTCCTGTGCCAGCAGCGGCACCCGGCCAGGCTCCGGGCTGTGTCCTCGGCCCCGGGTCACAGGAAGCGCACGAGCCTCACCCGCCGCCCAGCGGAACCCACTCGGGGGCCGGGCCTGTCCTGCCGCTCACCCTCTGTCCTGCCCGCCCGGCCCCCAGGGGCCTCCGCCAGCTGCTGTGCTCCGGGGGGCTGAGCCAGAGCGATGTGCCAGAGTGAGGTTAGGTCAGGCCAGCCGTGAGAAGTCGCTCTCGGAATAAAGGAATGTAGGAGCTGGGAGGACCTTCTGGAAAGCATCTGTTTTCATCGCCATTCATCCCCTCTGCCTCCTCCTCTACCACCTCCCGGCAGCCACACTGCCCATGGCCACGAGTCTTCTTCTTCTCTCTCAATCCCGCCCCCCAGGACCCTCTGCCTCCCGGGCCAACTGCGCTGTGTGCCTGCCCGATATCTGCCATCTGCCCTGGCAACAGCACCCCCTTATTAGGTGTGTAACCTCACACAGGGCCTAAGCGAGACCTGGGGCAGAGGCACCCTGTCACCCACAGTGAAGGCCCCTCTTCACTCTGGCCCTCATGCCCCTAGTACATGCCCCTGAGTCTTCTTCCTGGCAGAGCTCAGCATCTGACTTCCTGCCCTCAGCAGCTCCCCACAGTCCCGCTGTATCCCAGGCCCGGGGCCATCTCCTCCCCCACACCCTCCCCCCAGGCCCGCCCCTCCGACACCTGCCCTCCTCACCATGGTCATGTAGGTGGCCTCTGACCTGTCACGTGGCTCTTCTTCCTTGGGCACCTCCCACGTGGTGATGGAGGAGTAAACATGCTTCTATGGGGAAAAGGTAAAACACTCCTGAAAATCAGCAGTTCTGCTTTTTAATATATATTTGTATTGATTTCAGAGAGGAAGGGAGAGGGAGAGAGAGAGAAACATCAATGATGAGAGGGAATCACAGATCGGCTGCCTCAGGCACACCCACACTGGGGATCAAGCCTGCCACCGGGGCCTGTGCCCTTGGCTGGAATTGAACCCTGACCTCTTGGTTCCTGAGCTGATAATTGCTGAGCCACCCCCATGGGCTCAGTGGCTCTATGACAGAGAAAAGGCCTCCTGCTACGATTCTCATGGCATCAGCCACCCACACGGGCAGGCGCAGAGGTTACTGAAAGTTAGAGAATTATCATCAATACGATAATTCCATCATCGATGTTCCAGAGAATTAACTCCTCAGAGCCCTATCTTAGGAACCAAATCCTTCCCAAGCAGCCTTTGTTTGGTGGCCTTAGGGAGCAGCCCCAATCCTTCTCTCGCCAAATCTGATCTGCTCCGTGGTTACCTCCTCCTCGGCCGACCTGCCGCCAGCCTCCCGGGCCTCGTGGCCGGGCGCCCCGGAGCCTCTCCCGGAGGCTGGGCGCAGCCGGCGAAGCCCATTTCCACCTTTACGGGGGCGACAGCGTCACCCCGTGGAGACTCTGGGACACTGGAGGCCGCTGCACCGTGAGGAAGCCCACTCTGGCCCAGACAGACCGGAGACGGGAGGCCCATCCCAAAGGGGGGTTAAAAGTTTAAAAGAGAAAGAAAGGAAAAGGAGCTGAAAGGAACGAGTCCATTTCTCAGCCCCTGGCCGAGCCATCACAGCCGTTCCAGCGAACACAGAGGAGAGGCTGAGGGTCCTCTCGGCTAACGGGCCTGCATCTCCCCGTAGCCTGGCTCCCCAGACACTCCCCAGGCACCCCGTTCCGCCTCCTGTCACCCCGAGACCTGAACCCCCACAGGGTGGGTCCGGGCCCTGGCCCTGCTTTTACTGACGAGCAAACAGGCTCAGGGAGGGCCCAAGGCTGGGCCCACACTGGACTGTCTGGCCCCGAGTCCAGTGCTCCCTGCTCGGCCCCCAGACACACTCACACACTGGCGGCCAGCTGCCCACACGCACCCCCTCCGGGGGCGTCAGTCCAGCGGGGAGAGGCCGAGCCGGGCTCTGCGCCAGCCGTGCCCACGTGCTGAGACCCAGGCTGAGTGAGGACCCACCGCCCTGAGAGGCACAGCCACGCGCAGAGCCCCCTCTTACCTCGGGCAGAGCCCTGTCCCTGTCCTCCAGGCTCTTCTCCAGGGCCCTGGACGTCCCAGAGCTGCAAGGCAGGAGATGCAGGCGTTAGCAGCCAGGATGGCCAGTCCAGGTGCCCTCGGCGCTCAGGAAGAGGCACCGAGCCGGGCTGTTCTCCCTGGACTCTCCCAACTCACCCGAAGCCCGCGGCCCCTCCCGGCGAGCAGGGAGCACCGGAGCCCTGAGGGCTGGGCAGCAGCCCCCAGCCCCCGGCCCCGGCTTTCTGTCTGTGACGGGCAGCGGGTGCACGGAGCTGGGCCCCAGGCTACCTGCTCACCTCCCCGGACCAGGCAGTGCTGCTGGGCCGGCAGGTCAAAGGCCCAGTGGAATCACCCAGCGGCACCCCACTGTGTGCTCTGCACCCCACAAGCACCCCACTGTGTGCTCTGGCTGCTTCCCACTCCTTGTCCTGTGATGTCTTGGCCATTTGCCTTCTGCATTTGCCATTGAAGACACTTTTTTTCTATTTTGGCCTACTTTCTATTTTCACTCTCTCCCTCTTTCTCTCTAAAAATCAATTTAAAAAAAAAATTTTAATGGTTTATCTCAGGCATTGAATGGCACCATTATAGTTTGTGCTTAAGATTTACAAAGTTTTTTTTAAGTATGTTTTTATTAAACTCAGAGAGGAAGGGAGAGGGAGAGAGAAATAGAAACATCAATGAGAGGGAATCGATTGGCTGCCTCCTGCACGCCCCCTACTAGGCATTGAGCCCACAACCCTGGCCTGTGCCCTGACTGGGAATCGAACTATGACCTCCTGGTGCCCAGGTCGATCTCAGCCCCTGAGCCGCACTGGCCGGGCTGGATTGGACTCTAATTGAGCTGCACCTGGACCACCGCTTGTCCAGGAGCTGCTCGACTACAGAGGAGGGGGTGGGATCGCACACGATGCCGAGGGCATCTGGTGCCACATGGTGCACAGAGGCCGTTCCCCTCGGAAACAGCCCTTCTGGGGAGAGGCTCCGCTCAGCCGGTCTCCCCTCCCCCTCGGCAGAAGCAGCCTGGCGCCAGCAGCCGTCTCCCGCGGAGCGCGTACCTCTTACTCCCCTGGATCCTCCTCGCGGTCAGGATGAGCACCGGAAGCAGCAGGACAGTGACGCAGACGATGCCCACGATGGTCACCAGCTGGGTCCCGCCCAGCACCTCGGGTCTGGGGGCCGTGGCGGTCACCAGCGCTGGCGGAGGGAGCAATGGGGCTCAGTGTCACAGGAGAGGGCTGAGCCCCCGGTGATGGCGCAGCAGCCACAGCCAGGCAGGAAGTGGGGCGCAGGCCCACTCCACCGCGTGGAAGCGCTAGAACCCCTGCGGGCCCTGCAGCTTGAGAGCCGAAGCCGGTGCCCTGCGTACGGGCAGGAGAGGCGGCCTCGCCCGGAGTCCCCCCTGGCGCCAACAACTCTCTTAACACTTGGGTCACAGATGACGCTGACACAACACACTCCTGGAGGCTACGGATGTTTCTACGGGAAAGTGATGGTTTTTTTAAATATATTTTATTGATTTCAGAGCGGGAGAGAGAGAGGAGCATCAATGATGAGGGAGCCCTGCACGCCTCTCACTGGGGACCAAGCCCCTGACCTGAGCATGTGCCCTTGGCCGGGAATCACACTGTGACCTCCTGGTTCACAGGGCGGTGCTCACCCGCGGAGCCGCGGCGGCCGACGGGCAGTGACTCCCAAAGGCTCTCTGCCACGAAGCCCGGCCCGCGGTCAGGGCGCCCGGGAGGCCTCGGGGGCACCTGCCCACACAGGGTGCCCTTCGCACGTTTCCTGGTTCATTCCCCACACACACAAACCGGGTCCGGCTTTTGTCGCGGAGGCAGGGGGAGCGCTGAGAGGCCATCGGGGTGGGCCTGAGTGCGGGGCTGTGGCTGAGGAAGGCGGGCCGGCTGCTGCAGGAAGAGGGAGCCCTTGACCGAAGCCACGCTGGAGAGCAGAGACCAGGCCGAGGCCTGAGCTCAAGACAGATGAGGACGCCGCCGAAGGCGGTGGGGGGGCGGGAAGAAGGCAGCCCGGAGTCAGGCGCAGAAACCACAGGACCATCATCCGTTAGACGGGCCCTGGGAGCGGCAGCGGCGAGCACAACGGGCAGGGGGCGAGTGGAGGCGATGGCGGGAGTGAGGTGATGGGAGTGGAGGAGGTGGGCTGGGAAGGTGTCCGCGGCTGGGTGTCTTGTATTGGGGGCACGGGGTGGACCACATACAGCTCTACTGAGACGGACAGACTGTCCCACGCAGAGCGTGTGGCCTCCCATCCGCTCGGAAAGGAGGCGGGGTGTGCGAGGCCGTCGGGATGGAAAGCAAGCGAGGCAGCAGCGGCCGCCAGAAGGCGGTGCACGGAGGAACGAGATGGCGGGAAGTGAGAGGAGAGACGCTGCACGCGCCCTGCAGCCAGCAGCTGGCCATCAAACCTGGTGTGGTCAGGCTGCACAGCTCCGCTCACACCAGCACCTGGGCTGTGCGCCTAAGCAGGTTCGCTGTTTTCCTAGCTCAATAAAGCTGCTTTCGGAAAAAGAAAGGACCTGGCCGGTGTGGCTCAGTGGATAGAGCGGCATCCTGTGCACCAAAGGGTCCCAGGTTCGATTCCTCCCCGGCCCAGGCCCTGGTTGGGGGGTTGCAGGAGGCAACCAATCGACGTGTTTCTCTCACCTCAATATTTCTCTCTTCCTCTCTCTCTAAAAATCAATGGGAAAAATATCCTCGGGTGAGATTAACAAAAGAAAGAAAAAAGCCATAGGATGAGAGCTAAGCAGAAGAACGTGAGGTAAGAGGAGAGGAGCATGTTTATGTCCTGAGCGTGAGGAGCCACTGCCAGTGCCTGGGAGGGAGCGGGGCAGGCACCTGCAGGGCTGGATGGAGGGCGGGGGGAGGGGGAGAGGGCACTATCAAGCTGCTGGGGGAGACCGGGCAATGGGACCGGGCGCAAGGGGGACCGGGCGCCGGGGGGGACCGGGCACTGGGGGGGGAGGGACCGGGCGCGGGGGGGGGGGGGGGAGACCAAGTGCTGTGGGGGGACCGGGCGCCGGGGGGGAGGGGACCAGGCGCCTGGGGGTGGGACCGGGCGCCGGGGGGGGGGCGGGGACCAGGCGCCTGGGGGGGGACCGGGCACGGGGGCGGGGGACCGGGTGCCGTGGCCAGGCTTTGGTCTGTGCGGCTGGGATAAGACTTCGGAGGGTAAGGAGAGTCTCTGTCCCGCCCCTCTGCAGCCAGGACTCTGCTACAGACGAGAAGGGGCCTCCACAGACGAAGTCCCAGGCCAGGGCATGGAGGTAAGCTCCATCCTGCCCCAGCCCCCTCCAGCCAGCCACAGCCAAGCCCCGAGGCCCTGGTGCAATGCAGACTCCACAGCCACATCCTGGCTGCTAACTGGGTTAAAGTTTACCTCTAACCCTCACTTAGCAACCTCCAGTCAACACAGCCGGCCTCTGCCCCTCCACGCCGCCTCCCTGTTTCCCAGAACACAGCGCCTTTGCTCAGAACCCTCACCCACTTCTGTCCGTGCCTTCCTGTCTGTTCTCTGCCCCCCCCCCCCCCCCCCAGCGCAGGGGCCATCCCCTCCCCCCAGAGCACAGCCAGGCTCTGAGCTGCGGCTCCGGGCTCTGCGTCCCGGGCTGTGGAGCCGGCGGCCGCGCTGCCCCAGGAGGGCTGGCGAGGCCGGTCCCTGAACGCCCGCAAGGCAGGGACCGGGGTGAGGCCCCCGCGCTGCCCAGGGCCGCACACTGAAGGAGGCACCAGCCTCAGGGCCGGGCCAGCACGGGGTCAGCCCCGGGGGGCGCCTCCTGGCCTTTCCCACCACAGGCCACCGGGCCTCGCTAGTGCTGGCCACGCTAACCAGCCGGTCCCGCCGCCCAGCCCCGGTCACACACCTGCGGGCTCTCTCGGCCTCACGAGCAGCGCGAAGGTCTTCCTGAAGGCCAGCTCCCCCAGCTGGATGCTGCAGGTGTAGCTGCCCGCGTCGGACTCCCGCGCTCCCTGGAGCTGGACGGAGCCGTCGTGCGCCGTGACCCCCACCAGCGCCACGCGGTTCCGGAAGCGGCCCCCGCTCTGGGGGGGCCCCAGGGGTCCTCTGCGGCCGGTGGAATAGTGCAGCACCGCCTCCTCCTGGAGGGAGGCGAAGGCGTGAGCGAGCGGGGGGGGGGGGGGGGGGGGGAATGTGAACCAGCACAGGTGCTTCAGCAAGGACGGCGCAGACACACACGCGTGTGCAGGCATGTGCTGCTCCTGCCTTAGCGCCCGTGGCTCCTCCCCCGATGTGGGTCCCCGTCAGGGCGGGCTTTCACTGCGCAGCGGACGCCCCAAAAATACGCATAAAGGAGCACAGGTTGGCATTTTTAAAGTAAGGAGCATAAACAGTGGCATTTTAAAGCTTTCAAGGAAAGAAGCGGGATGGCCGTTGGGGCACAAAGACAAGTGGAAGGGGCTCCAGCGTGGCGCCCTCCCACCGGTGCCGGCCTCCCGGGCGCTGACGTGCGGATGGACCCGCTCAGCAGGGCCTCCCCGTGTCTGGGGTGCCGCCCCCGGCCCCGGAGCGGAGAGGAGCAGTGATGGCATGGCTGTTTACAGGATGACCTCTGTCTTGGTTATAAAACCTGAACCTCGCACAAAGCTCCCAGCTTCTTTCATTAGCAGTAAGCCCTCTGGGGGCCAGCCACACGGCGTGGCCTGAGCGCCTCTCCCCATCACATCCCGGCCTCATGAATGAACATGCTGTCTCACACCTTCCCGCTGCAGCCCAGCCTCTGAAGCCCCTGCGACAGGGCTGTCTCCACCCGTGAGAGGGGCGAGGGGCGAAGAGAAAACTCACAAACGTAATGCACAGCGGCCACTGTGCTTCTCTCCGGCCCAGAGCGCTCCGGCCGCCGGAACCTGCCTGCTCTCCCAGGAGCTCCGGAGAGAAAGGGAGGAGGGGCTGTATGCAGAGGCCGAGCCATACAGGTGCCCATACAAGGCTCCGCTGCCACACAATCAGGCATCTCCTCCCCTTCCTCCCCCTCCTCCCCCTCCTCCTTCTCCTCCTCCTCTTCCTTTTCCTCCTCCTCCCCCTTCTCCTCCTCTTCCTCCTCCTCACCCTCCTCCTCCTCACCCTCCTCCTCCTCTTCTTCCCCCTCCTCTCCCTCCTCCTCCACTTTCTCCTCCTCTCCCTCTTCCTCCTTCTCTTCCTTCTCCCGCTTCTCCTCCTCCTTTTCCTTCTCCTCCCCCTCCTCCTCACCCTCTTTCTTCCTCATCATTTTTTTTTTTTAATCCTCACCCAAGGAAATTTTTCCAGTGATTTTTAGAGAGAGTGGAAGGGAGAGGGAGAGACAGAGAGAAACATCGATGTGAGAGAGACATTGATTGGTTGCCTCTTGCACACACCCTGACCAGGGCCCAGGCTGGGGAGGAGCCTGTAACCAAGGTCTTGCCCTTGAGTGGAATCAAACCTGGAACCCTTTGGTCCACAGGCTGGTGCTCTATCTACTGAGCCACACCAGCCAGGGCTCCTTCTTCCTTATCTTATCATATTCATTAGAGTTATTTTCCCACCAAAAAGCTGAAGCGTCCCAGCCACGTGGCCCAGCATGCCACCACAGGGCACCGGATGCCTGGATGCCCCTCTCCTGCTCCTGTCACGGCGGCTCCGCCCACGGCGGCCCTCCCCGTTACCTTGGCGTGCTGCCCTGGGGAGAACATCCAGTCGACCTTGGTCGTGAGCTTCTCTTCCGTGCTCTGGAAAGCACAGCCCATTGGAACCGTGTCACCCACCTGGGCCGTGAGCTCTGGGAGAAGAGGATAAATCGGGTTCAACAGAGGCCAAAGAGCTTCCAGAGAGACGGTGTCCGCTGCAGACCCTCCACAGCACGGTCAGCGTCACCACCCCGACACACATCCTCTCCACGGAAGCCCCGAGGGCCCGTGTGGACACGGTTCAGAAGCTCCCTCACACCACACGTGCTCCAAGGACGAGAGCCCTCCAGGCCACGCACGTCCAGGCGGGAGTCCTGTTGTCTTCGGACAACAAACACCTCCTGGTCCTCAGTCCCTCTCCCTCCCACAGCCCCGCTCCACCCCAATTCACAGAGAAGGCAGCGCAGAACCCTGACGCCCACCCCGCTGCCCCCCCCCCCAGGGCCCCACCTCTGCTCCGCGTAAACAGGAAGTGGGAAGGTACAGCACTCTCCTTATTGCTCCCTCCTCATCGTCGCTGGTGAGCTTCGCCTGGTGAGCTTCGGGAGGAGCTGTGTCCAGCGAAGACCCGGCTCCTGCCTCCCTGAACAGCCCTCCCCCCGCCCTCTCTGCGCTGGCTCTGCGCTGGTCTGTGCAGAGCAGCGTCGAAAAGTCAGACACCTCTTCCCCGTCGTGTTCTCTTCCAAGGCCTCTCGCCGTGGCTCACGCAGTCCACACGCGAGGGGTCGGCTGCTCACAGAAGGAGCAGGAGGGAGCCCAGGACTTGCAAAGCCAGAAGCAGGGGGAGGGGGAGCAGGTTGGGGTTTGGGGCAGGGAGGGAAACAGAAACAACATCCAGAGGAAAATGACCTAATTAGTAAGGAGCCCTGTGACCTGCTCTGTAGCCCGAACTGTCCTAAGCAGGTCCTAAGGCAACTCGTAGAAAGGAAGGAGAGCCACCTGCAACTCAGTTCTTCAGCGGGGCCCAGGGGTTGTCCTATATAATAAAAGGCTAACATGCAAATTGTCCCCGGACTGGACTTCAACGGGAAGTTTAACCAGGGGGTGGGACCAGTTGCCATCTGCCTGCAGGCCCCACCCCCAGCCTGGCCCAATGGGCCCTGATGGGGCGGGCTGGCCGGACCCTGCCTGGGCATGGATTCGTGCACCAGGCCTCTAGCCTCTAGTATGATTCGGAGCAGGTCACAGGGCTCCTTACTAATTAGGTCATTTTCCTCTGGATGTTGTTTCTGTTTCCCTCCCTGCCCCAAACCCCAACCTGCTCCCCCTCCCCCTGCTTCTGGCTTTGCAAGTCCTGGGCTCCCTTCTGCTCCTTCTGTGAGCAGCCGACCCCTCGCGTGTGGACTGCGTGAGCCACGGCGAGAGGCCTTGGAAGAGAACACGACGGGGAAGAGGCGTCTGACTTTTCGACGCTGCTCTGCACAGACCAGCGCAGAGCCAGCGCAGAGAGGGCGGGGGGAGGGCTGTTCAGGGAGGCAGGAGCCGGGTCTTCGCTGGACACAGCTCCTCCCGAAGCTCACCGGGCGACGTTCAGGGGGGAGCAAACAGCGCACAGGCTGACCTTTCCTCCCCCTCCCCCACCCCGTTTCCCGGAGCGAGCTTCCCGCCCAGCAGGACAAATGCAGAACGGGAGGGAAGCAAAGAAAATACTATGAACTTGAAGTCATAAGAATTCACGCCGGGGGGAGGCGGGAACGCCCTCGAATTCCAGCAACGCATCACAGACCGAACTCCAGCCGGGCGGGCGAGGCTCCACGGCTCAGCCCACCTCGGAACCAGGGGGTCGCAGCTCGGTTCCCGGTCAGGGCACAGGCCAGGGGTGTGGGCTCGATCCCCAGTGTGGGGCGTGCAGGAGGCGGCCTATCCATGATCCTCTCTGATCATTAATGTCTCTCTCTCTCTCCCTCTCCCTTCCTCTCTGAAATCAATAATAAAAATGTGTATGTTATTTAAAACTGAACTCTGCTTTTTAAAGGCGACATAATAATGAGCCCTCTGAGCCCTCGCAGTGCGGCAGGCATGTGGGCGGCACCCTGTACAGAGCCTGTGACTGGGCATTGCAGTGCTTGGAGCTGCTCACTCTGACCCTCCCCTCGCGCAGAGGATGAGCTCTGACCCTCCCGTGCCCAGAGGATGAACGTGGGAGACAGAGCTAGGAGCACCAGCAGCTGAGAGCCCACACCCCGCTTCCCACTCCCTCACTCCACGCCTCAGAGCGGACGGACGGACGGCCACCCGAGGGCAGCCAAACAGGAAGTGGTGTGCTTTATTTGTGAGAACACGGTCTGTGGTGTTTAAGTGAGAAATGTGGGGAAAGAGCTAAAGAACTGGAATCGGGAAAATCGTCAGCTGAAGGTGCCTGGGCAGAGAGATCAGAGCCTGCAGAGCGCACTGTCACAGGAGCCGGTCTCCTCCCATGCGGGCGAGAGGGAAAGGCAGCCACAAGCTCTGGGGGGCACCTAACTGCCCGACAATTGTCCCGGCTGCGTGGTCGGGTTCAACGCCCAGAACCCGCTCCTTCTGGTCGCTCCCTCCGCGTTCCGTGGGCCCGCCGTGTGGACCGCGATGGCGTGACATCAGAAGACGGCAGAGCGCGCGGCCCGCGGCCCGGGGGCATGGGCGCTGATCGCTGCCCTCTTCCCCGGGGGCACAGCGTGGGCGTCAGGGGAAAATGACAGTTGAAGAAAAGTAAACAAAATAAATAAGCAAATTAGGAGAGAGGCCAGAAGCTACCGCCTACAACTCCAATTTTCAGATGACAAACTCGTGAGGGGCACATTCAAGAATCCCTTCACTCATAAGCGTGTGTTGATCACTCCCTCTGTGCCGGTCAGGCGACCAAGCACACAGACCCAGGTGACCGGGCAGACAACTGAGCAGGGAGAAGTGTCACCGGGCAGAGACAGCTGAGCAGGGAGGAGTGTCAGCAGCGGGAGGCGGGGTACCCAGAGAAGCTCTGTGAAAGAGGGGCCCAAACCAGCCGGATGAGGGGAGGGGAGCACACTCCAGCGCCCCAACTAGACCGTTCCTGAGGCCACAGACTGTTCCTTCTGTCTCCCACTCTCAAAAAACGCGTAGAGATCTGGGGTTTCCAAGCCTGTTACAAGGCAGCAGAACCCTTTCTTCAAACAAAATCTCACCTGGCGGCCCACAACGAGTCAGGAAGAAGATAAGGGCTGAGTTTGCAGGGAGATGGGAGCCTGAGGTCCTGCCAGGCCCTGCATCCGCCCTCCCTGCTCCCATCCTTCCAGTGCCCCCAGGTTCCCTGGATCTGGGGCCCCACAGAGCACCGCCTTCTGCCGAAGCCACGTCCTCCGTTTACAAATGGGAAACTGGAAACCAAGAAGCTGGGGACATCTGCGTGTGCCCTTCATGCCCCAGAGCGCTGACTGCAGGCCCTACAGCACACGTGTGGCAGAGCGTGGGCGCCGCGGGAAGGGCCGGGCACAGTGACAAGGACGTGTGGCCAGAGGCCTCAGGATCAGGCACGGGCCTGACACCTAACAAACACGGGCCTGGCCCAACACTGCCCTCTCCGGCCTGCACCTCCTCTCAGCACTCCCCGGAGCAGGAAAGCTGTCTGAAGTGATATCGTCATCCGCATTTTATTCGTTTGTTAAATATATTCTTATTGATTTCAGAGAGGAAGGGAGAGGGAGAGAGAGAAACATCAATGATGAGAGAGAATCATGGACTGGCTGCCTCCTGCACGGCCCCGTCTCGGGATGGAGCCCCCAGCTGGAATCGAACTCGGGACCCTACAGTCCGCAGGGCCACGCTCCATCCACTGAGCCACGCTGGCTAGGGGACTCCTCCCTTTACCTGGAGAGCACTGCTGCCTGCAGCTCGTGCTGCGGTGAGCATGGAGCCCGGGGCTGGCATCGACACAAAATCCGAACCTGCCCTGTTCTCCCTCAGGCCTCCAGCCCTCCCCGCTCTGAGCGCGGCCACCCACCTCGGGGCTCCGCCGGCAGCACGTGCAGCGCCACGTGGGTTTTGAACACGCGGCTCTCCAGCTCCAGGCGGATCTCGCAGGTGTAGGTGCCCTGGTCGGCCTCCTCCACGTCTCGGAGCAGGAGAGAGCCGTCGTTGCGTGCGAGGTCCCCCACCAGGCTCACCCGGTGCTGGAAGCGCCCCACAGGCACGCTGAGGTTGGCGTAATGGTACAGCACGTAGTCCACCTGGAGGGCAGACATGGGGCCTGGGTCAGCGCTCCAACCCGGGCTGCACTCAGCCCTGCCCTGCGGGGCAGCATGGCCACATCACGTGACCAGAAAGCTCATGTGGATCATCAAAGGGAAATATTTTGCTATTATTTTTTTCCTTTTTTAAAATTTATTATGGATTTCAGAGAGGAAGGGAGAGGGAGAGATAGAAACATCGATGATAAGAGAGAATCATTTACCAGCTGCCTCCTGCCCACCCTCCACTGGGGATCAAGCCTGAAACCCAGGCATGTGTCCTTGACTGGAATCGAACCCAGGACTCTCCGGTCTGTAGGCCGATCCACTGAGCCAAACCGGCCAGGGCAAAGTGAAACATTTGAATAGGATTTTTTAAAATCATCATGTGCCAAAAAGCATCTCTTGCTCGCAGCTCCATGGCTCACGCAGACAGAGCCCGATGGGGAAAGAGGGACCACAGCTTTGGGCCTGACCTTGGGGTGCAATGCAGCACCCACTCTGAAGATGGTTCTGGGGGTTCACTCCTCGTGGAAACCACCTCCCATTTCACCCCGGCCTCTGCCACAGCCCGGGGGCGCTGGCAGAGGAAGATGGGACGGCCCTGGCGGCCACACGGCCTAGTCTGTGGCTGTCACTCCCTGTCCACTCCCTCTGGCAGCTTCCAGTGAGGCAGGAGGAGGCATCAGGAAGTGCCGGAGGGTGGGCCTGGTGGACCCTTCCTGTGCTTACAGCACCACATGGTCATGAGCACTGAGTGAGTGCAGCATTCTGGGAACAACGTGTCCCGAGCTTCAGAAATAATCCTTCATTTGCAAACACTGGGGCTCGTGGTTAATAACATGCTACGAGGACGTTTTCCCCAGATGATCCTGACATGGAACAGCTCCACAGAAGCTCGCTTTCTGCTCTGAAGAGCCCACGAGACATCCTCTGTGGCTGTGCTGACTGCCACCCATATGGCCCACACTGTGCTGACTGCCACCCACGTGGCCCTCAGCTGTGCTGACCTGCCACCCCAGGTGGCCCACACCCGTGCTGAGTGCCACCCACATGGCCCACACTGTGCTGACTGCCACCCACGTGGCCCACAGTTGTGCTCACTGCCACTCCACGTGGCCCACAGCTGTGTTGGCCTGCCACCCACGTGGCCCACACTGTGTTGACTTGCCTCCCATGTGGCTCACAACTGTACTGACCTGCCACCCCAGGTGGCCCACACTGTGCTCACTGCCACCCCACGTGGCCCACACTGTGCTGACTGCCACCCCATATAGCCACACTATTCTGACCTGCCACCCATGTGGCCCTCAGCTGTGCTGACCTGTCACCCCACGTGGCCCACACTGTGCTGACTGCCACCCACGTGGCCCGCAGCTGGGAAGGAGGCGGACAATATCCTGCTGCACATGCATGCCGAGGCTACAGCCCACTGCAGACCAATGTGTCCCGGCTCCCTCCCTCCCAGCACCTGCGCTGCTCCACAGAGGGCAGCACTGAGAAGAGGGGCTGGCACTGCGCGCACGCCTCCACCAGCCCCTCAGGACGTCAGCTTCGCCCTGGCAGATGGAGCGGCGCCGCGAGGCTGACCGTCCAACAGCGCGGGCTCCTGATGCGCTCCTGGGCTGAGCGCCTGACACTCACCTCCCGGCCCCTGGAGACCTGACCCCCTCCCTCGTGGCCCACCCCCGGGCAGCTCCCCGCGGCTCCGTCCCGGGTCCTCGTTACCTGGTCGTCGTGCTCCCTGCGTGAGAATGTCCAGTCGACCTTGGTCACGCGTTTCCCTTCCACGCCCTGGAACACGCAGCCCAGCAGGGCGGGCTCCCCCGCGTGCACCGTCAGCTCCCGGGAGGACACGGTCAGGGCGTTCAGGCCCAAGAAATAGCCTGCAGGAGCCAAGGGCAAGAGGAGGCACCCTTAGGGACGTGCCGGACGGCACAGACCAGTACCGGTCACCACGGGCCTCACACCCGCCCTCCCCGCTGGCCCAGCGTGGACCTGTGTGCAGAGGCCCTCGCTCGAGGCAGCACGGCCTTTCGGAGGAGGGGACACCCTCTGGCCGCCACAGGGACACACACTACTGGCCCTCTCCTATCGGCCCTCTCCTTCCCCAGAATCCCCCCCCCCCCCCCCGACCCCACTCCTTTCCAAAGGAAGAAGAGAACCCTGAGGTCCCTGCTTTCGGGCGGGTATTGAGACGCCCACACACAGAAGCGATGTCCCTAGTTCCTGGTTAACCAACCGTCCCCATGGACAAAGCAGCTCCTGGCATCTTCCCTCCCTCCCTGTTCGCTCTGTTCTTTGGTTCCTTCACAAACGTTCATCTCTGCACTCGCCGCTGCTTCTGGCCGCCATGCGTGCGGGTCCTCAGAATCAGGCCTGCGCGGCCTTCATATCTGTCTCCTCCCACACCGCCCACCCCAGCCCTGGCTCCCAGCAGATGGGGACACGCACGGTGCCAGCCCACTGTCCCTGCACCTGCTCCAGTCACTCCTCCTTTCACTACCAGGGAGAACCGTTAGATGGATACTCCTGTTTTCAGAAGACATGCTGGGTTTTCACAAGAAAGAGACAGTATCGCCAAGAAAGACACCTTTAGAGACGATGCTCACAGAGGGGGAGGCTGGGGAGAGGGAAAGGGACTGAAGACCAGCGATCAACAGTTTCAGAACAGCCCTGGGGATGGGAGGTACAGCACAGGAAACACAGTGATCTGTACTAATAAAAGGGTAATATGCTAATTAGACCAGGCCAACCAGACATCCAACTTCCTTCTGGACAAAGACACAGTGGTGGGGGCCAAGGCAAAGGCTGTTAGGAGTGAGGAGGCCAGCAGGGGAGCAAACAGTAAGGGGCAAGATCAGGCTGGCACAGGGAACAAGCAGTTGGGGGTAATCAGACCACGGGGGAGGAAGGGACAGTAAGGAACGTTCAGGCCAGCAGGGGAGTGGTTAGGGAGTGATCAGGCAGGCAGGCAACGGCAGTTAGGGACAATCAGACAGGCAGGCAGAGGTGGTTAGGGGTGAGCAGGCAGTCAGGCAAGCAGGCAAGTGATTAGGAGCCAGCAGTCCCGGATTGTGAGAGGGATGTCCAACTCCTGGTGGGATCTGGCCTAAACCAGCAGTCAGACATCCCCCAGGAATCCCAGATTGGAGAGGGTGTAGGTTGGGCTGAGGGACACCCGCTGTGCATGAATTTTGTGCAGCAGGCCTCTAGTGTGTCTATATAAAACCCTAATATGCAAATAGACTGAATAGAAGAACAACCGAGCAATCGTTTGCTGTGACATGAGCAGACCACCAGCGGGTGCACGTGGAACATGGTGGGCATCAGCAGCAGGTGGCAGAGCACGGAACATGGTGGCCATCAACCATGGCAGGACAGTGCAGCAGGTGAGTGGGGGCGCCAGACCAAGGCGGGACACCGGTCACTGTCATCGGGTTGAGCCTCTGGTGGTACTGAAAATTCTTTGCTCCCACGTGCCACTGCTGGCACCAGCCCCAATTGCCCACGCTGTCAGCGGGTGTGAGCGGGGCTGGCATCGTCAGCACATGGGAGCAGCAGTAGCAGGAGTGGGGCTGCTGGCAGACAGGGGAGTGGGGCCACAGAACGAGGGGCTGGACAGGGCACAGAGGATAGGCTGAGACCCGCCCTGTGCCCACCACAGCCTCTCGGTCCACAGTTCCTTTCAAGGTGCATAAATTTGTGCAGTGGGCCCTGGTATTGTAATAACTGTGTATGGTGCCAGGTGGGCATTGGAAAGATCTGGGGGCACACTTCCTAAAATATATGATTGTCTGAGCACAATGCTACAAATTATAACACAAAGATGAAATTTAAATTAAAGAGAAAAGAAAAAGAAAGAGAAGCTTAGATACTGGAGACGGCGGGCACGCAGCGGGAGAGGGAGAAGGCAGGCACGCAGCGGGGAGATGGAAAAGGAAACGGGGACTCCAGACCCTCTGCAGAGAATTATTTGGGAAGAAATCAGAATGAGCTCCAAAAACAGTTTGGAATTTGCTGTCAGGAAGAACTGAGAAGTTTGCGTGTGGGGCTGTAAGGAAGGCTGTAAGGAGGGCTGTAACTGGCACTGAGCACGCTGTGTGCAGGTAAAACGGTTTGTAGGAAGGCAGAGCGCAGCCTAAGCAGAGGGGCTCAGAGCGCCGGGTGGCTCTGCAGAGAAACGGCGAGGAAAAGGAGGCTTTCTACGGGGAGCTCTCCCCCGGCACCAACCGCCAGCAGGTAACAGGCTGGCCTCCTGGGGCTGCGGGCACACCCTGGGGAATGCCGCAGGACCTCTGACACCTGCACTTCTGTGTGTACATGTGCATGCTTGTGCGCTTTATGTATGTGTGCCCAGGCATGTGCATGTGCACGTGTCTAGGCATGTTCGCGTGCGCGTGTGTGTACACACGTGTCCACACGAACATGTATATCCGTGTGTGCACATGCACCCTGTTGCCTAGAACTAGAGCCAAGATAGCTCTTCCGTGTGCTGGCTGAGTGTGTTTAGTCACCATCCCGGGTGAAAACGCTGGTAAAGAGGAAAAGGAGAGGCCATGCGAGCAGAGCAGCTGGGGAGGGGGAGGACGGGAGCGATGGGAAGGCTGGACATGACGGGCAAGAGCACCTGAGCTCTCGGCAACAGGGAGGCCGCTTGGGTGGAGGCCGCCGGGGCGGAGGCAGAGCAGGCGTGGGGCCTGGAGGACCAGGGAGGGAGAGAGAGAGGCGGCAGGGAGAGAGGCCCCAGCACAGAAACTACTCCATCAGGAACGGGAACCAAGAAGGCTGCCCTGGCTGAAGCAGGAAGCAATGACAGGGATCCTGGGGCTTTCTCTGGTGATTTCATTTCCTGATCTGACACCAGCGGTGAATTTAAAGATGATAATATGAGCCCTGGCCGGTGTGGGTCCTGGGTTCGATTCCAGTCAAGGGCATGTACCTTGGTTGCAGGCTTCTCCCCTGTCCAGGCCCTGGTCAGGGCTCGTGCACGGGGCAACCAATCGATGTGTCTTTCTCACATCGATGTTTCCCTCTGTCTCCCCTCTCTCTGCCGCTCTCCCTGAAAACCAATGGGAAAACATCCTCGGGTGAGGATGAAAAATAAAAATAAATGAAGGGACGATGGCTAAGGGCAGGAAGGCAGAGGGAGGTTTCTCTGTGTCACACGAAAGCCTGGGCCTTCCGGGGCCGACAGTGGCTTCTGAAACCACGGTCCCACAGACTGCAGTTCCAGCTTAGGGGTTCCAGCCCAGCAAACCGAGGGGAAATGAAAACACCCCAAATGGCTCTTCTCAGGAGACTTCTGAGAAATCACCCCCCGCCCCCCCCCCCCCCCCCCCCCGGCTCCACTTACCCAGCAGCACTGGCCTCAGGGCGAGGCTCCGGAGGCAGAGCAGGCAGTGCACGCTGCTCTCCATCTTCAGCCTGGAGAGAAAAGGGAAAACGTCAGAGCAGTTTCAAGGGAAGTTCATTCATGTCCCACACCAACAGCGAGACCCGACCACCCGCCAGGCTCAGGGCGCAGTGCTGGTGGGAGACGGGCAGCGGCTCTGGAGGGTGGGGCTGGGGGGGGGGCAGAGGTAATAGAAGCAAAGGAGCGAACCCCAGAGCAGCAGGCGGGGCTGCTATGAGGGTGGCTGGGGCTGTGGGAGTTGAGCTGGAAGGGAAGACGGGATGAAAGTTGCTTTTCAAGAGAGAAAAAAGCACATGGTGTCAGAATTCCCTGGCAAGATCAGCCCTGGGCATTCGACAGCTGGAGTTTCACCTGCACAGGCGGTGACGGGACCCTCAGCCTGCAACTGCCTGTACAGGGATGCAGACTGCCCAGGCCAGGGGCGGAGAGGGGCCTGTGCCTGGCTGGGGCCGCTCAGCTCTATGGCACTCACTCAACTCTATGGCACTCACTCAGCTCTACGGCACTCACTCAGCTCTACGGCACTCACTCAGCTCTACGGCACTCACTCAGCTCTACGGCACTCACTCAGCTCTATGGCACTCACTCAGCTCTACGGCACTCACTCAGCTCTATGGCACTCAGCTCTACGGCACAGAAGCCACAGGAAAGCCCCTGCTCTCCCCGGTGATGCCTCCTGAGCCGGGGCCCCTGAGCAGAGTGAGAACTGGGCAGCCCGGCGGGGTGGCTCACTGGAGCATCATCCCATAGATACTTCTCTCTCACATCGATGTTTCTCTCTCTGAGATCCATAAACAGCCCTTGCTGGTTTGGCTCAGTGGACAGAGCATCGGCAAGGGTCCCAGGTTCGATTCTGGTCAAGGGCACATACCTCATTACAGGGTCCTCCCCGGCCTGGACCCTGGCTCCTGCAGGAGGCAACCAATCGATGAGCTTCTCTCACATGGATGTTCACTCTGTCTCTCCCTCTCTCTCCCACTTTCTCTAAAAACCAATGGAAAAATATCCTCAGGTGATCTTTTAAAAAAGATCTCCTAAAAGAGCCCTTACCTTATTCTAATCAGCCACAGCCTCCACAAGGAGAACCAGGGTCCAACTGTCCAAGAAGGTCTGACCTGGGTCCCAACTTGGAGGAGAAGTCAGGTGAAATCCTGAACCTCCATTTCTCACCTATAACCTCAGCTACTAATACAAAGACCACCTCTAATAAAGTAATCGTGCTTTGAAAAATATAATGCATACATACACACACACACACACACACACACACACACACACATATATATATATATATATATATATATATATATATATATATATATATATAGAGAGAGAGAGAGAGAGAGAGAGAGAGAGAGAGAGACCCTAATGTGCAAATAGACTGAATGGCAGAACAACCAAACAACTGAACAGCCAGTTGCTATGATGTATGCTGACCACCAGGAAGCGCACGAGGAATGTGGCAGGCATTGGCCACAGTGGGATGGTGGAGCAGGTGAGCAGGGGTACCAGACCACTGTTATTGGGGCGAGCCTCTGGTGGTTACTGAAAATTCTTTGCTCCCATGGCACGGTTCTGCTGGGCACTCACTCCTGCTGCCGGTGCCAGCCCTGATCACTCAGCATTATCAGTGGGTGAGAGTGGTGGCTGCTGGCCCCAATGGCCCCTCAGGGCTTCTCCACCTCCCCCTGCTCCTGAGGGGCCATAGGGGCAGCAGCCACTGCTCGCACCTGCTGATGACGCTGGTCCCGCTCACACCCAATGCTGGACTGGCCCCATCACTCCATGACGTCAGTGGGTGCAAGCAGGGCTGGTGCTGTCAGTGTGTGGGAGCTGTAATGGTGGTGGGGAGTGCTGGCAGACAGAGGGCCAGGGGCTGGGCCGGGGTGTGGAGGATGGGCTGAGATCTGCCTCTGTGCCCACCACAGCCTCGAAGCCCAGTTCCTTTTTTTTTTTTTTTAATATATTTTATTGACTTTTTATAGAGAGGAAGAGAGAGAGATAGAGAGCCAGAAACGTCGGTGAGAGAGAAACATCAACCAGCCCCCTCCTGCACACCCCCTACTGGGGATGTGCCCACAACCAATGTACATGCCCTTGACCGGAATCGAACCTGGGACCCTTCAGTCCGCAGACCGATGCTCTATCCACTGAGCCAAACCGGCTTCGGCCACAGTTCCTTTAAAGTGCACGAATTCATGCACTGGGTCCCTAGTAACCACATAAGATCCTATTGTTTATAACCTGAAAGGAAACAGTCTGTAGCTTTCAGGGGGGAGGATGGGTTTAGAGCATCTACTTTTAGAAAAATAGCAAATAATTGATTTAAATGAACTGGAAACTTGTAAGTTTCCATTTCTGAATCCCATCCCAGCAATGTCAAAAATGACTACACTGACACAGATACACCAAAAGTGACGGGAAGTTTCCCCCCACACAGTACACCTAATGCAAACACAGGCCCCTAAAGTCACCACAGCCCTGTTCCTGCCCCGTGACCCCCCACTCACCCCTACACACATGGTGAGCATGATCACAGCGTGCCATACCTGTAGCACACCACCCCCGGACCTCCAGGAATCCCGGCAAGCAGTTCTCAGAAGCTCCCCACACTCTGCACAGAGAGGCGGTGCTCCCTCCGTGACTAACATCAACCACATCCATCCACACGCCTGAGGCAGGACCACCGGGGAAAGGGCTGCCACAAAGACCACCAGGTGGAAATCACCTTAGATCCCCTGCGACTACACCCCGCCATTGTCAGAGAAAACAGCCACCCCCAAAGGACCCCGGATCTGATCACCAAACTCAAATCACTCAGAGCCAAACCCAAGCCACTTTCAAACAAACCCTAGGAGCTGTGAAAACCATCTGATGAATAACAGCCATTTCAGTTCTAAACACTCAAATGCATCACTTGCTGTATAAATGAAGAGAAGCATGATTTAATGAAGAAAAAAAAGCACAAAATGAATTATTTAAAAACTATTGTCCCAGGTCAGATCTTCCATTAGCTAATTCTTTGATCTTTGGGAAATCAATCTATCTACGCCTCTCGGACTTTTTTCGTTGTTGTTAATCCTCGCTCAAGGATATTTTTTCCATTGATTTTTAAAGAGAGTGAGGGGGGGCAGGGGAGAAAGAAAGAGAAACATGGATGTGAGAGAGACACATTGATCAGTTGCCTCCTGCAGGTGTCCCAACTGGGGCAACCAGAGTCAGGGATCAAACTTGCAACCCAGGTACATGCTCTTGACCGGGGATTGAACCTGTGATCCTTTGGTGCGAGGACCGACACTCCAACTACTGAGCCACAACAGCTAGGGCAAAGGCTCCGCCTCTTTTGCCCCTCGTTAGTGTAGCCCCCACTAGACATCGGTAGTCAATATGCAGGAAAGCAGGGTGCGTTCCCGCCAGGTGTTTAACGCTCACAGCAGCCCCAGGAGGCGTTACAGAGGAGGAAACTAAGGCCAGGCCGGTTAGTGACTTGCCTGCTCACACATCCAAGCGGCAGAACCAGGACCCAAGCACCGGCCGGCCCGCCCCGCCCCTCACGGCACCTTCACGTCTGCGGAGGAACCTGAGCACACACACACACACACACACACACACACACACACACACACCCCCGCTCACCCGCCCAGGGGCTCCTCTCCCAGCCTCCGCAGTGTCACTTCCTCAGGAGCCCTCCCCGACCCCAGATGCCTGGGCCCAGGTTTTCTGGTTTTGTTTTTTCCTGTTTCTATTCTGTTGTTGTTTTTAGTAATTCGTTACTGTTGAAAGTATTCCATATGTCCCCTTTTCCCCCCATGGACCCCTTCCAGCCCGCCCTGCCCCCTGCCCCAGGCCCTCACCACCCTCCCATCCACACACTGTCTGTGCCCAGGGGCCATGCAGAGATGCATACTCACCCTCCCCCGCTTTCCTGCGAGACTCCGCACTCTGCACCATGCCCCATGGCTCTGGGCCCACTCCGTCCATCAGTTCATTTTGCTAATTAATTTCACATATGAGTGAGGTCATGTGATACGTGTCATTCTCTGACTGACTGACTGACTTCATTTAACATGAGACTCTCCAGGCCCCTCCGTGCTGTCTCCATAGGCTGTTTTTAATAGTGCTATTGATCATGCCTCTAGGCAGTGGTCGGCAAACTCATCAGTCCACAGAGCCAAATATCAGCAGTACAACTATTGAAATTTCTTTTGAGAGCCACGTTTTTTAAACTTCAACTTCTTCTAACGCCACTTCTTCAAAATAGACTCGCCCAGGCCGTGGTATTTTGTGGAAGAGCCACACTCAAGGGGCTCGTGAACCGCAGTTTGCCGACCACGGCTCTAGGACATTAGTCACCATTCTAAGGATCTATTGCTGTGAATGCTTGTTTGATTAAAGCCTCCCCCATTCAGGACTATAAGCTTCAGGAGGCCATCGCTGTGGCCATTGACCCAGGAGGCGATGCACAGGGCCAGGGACACGCTAGTCAAGTTTCAATGTCCTAGTTAGTTGGCAATTACTCAGAAATTCCTATCACAAGTACGGGTGTCCCAAAAATGTATACACACTGATTTCTATTACATTTTGAAAACAAAAAGTATTTTAATAAACGCTGCCTTTATAATTATTCATATCTCACAGGTGTATATGATAGGAATTTATTTTTCCTCTTTAGTTTATTTTTCCCATACACCCCCTCCACCTCCACCCACCCCCATAATCACCACACAGTTATCCATGTCCATGAATTCCTTCTGTTTTTCCTGTTTTCCTCAATCCCTCATTTCCCCTGCCCTCCCCCACCTCCTGAGAGCTGTCTACCTGCTCTCTAGAGTCTGTATTTTGCTTGTTAGTTCAGTTGTTCATTAGATTCCACATATTAGTGAGACTGTATGGTATTTGTCTTTCTCTAACTGCATATTTCACTTAGCATAATGCTCTCCAGATCCATCCAAGCCGTCGCAATGGGTAACATTCTCTTCCATTTGTATGGCTGAGTAGTGTTCC